AGCCGACTTTTTGAAGCCTTGGTTTCCCAAGCCAATACCCGCTTTCCGAACTGACCTGGTGGATGCTTCTGTCAGCCACACGCATCCTTGAGCGCAACAAAGCACGTCAAGCACGATACATGCAGACTGGTTCAGTTTGCTCTTCCAAGACTGCTTGATGATAGCCGCCAATAAATAAAACCTGCAGCTCTGGAAATCTAGGCTAGAAAGAGCAATACGGCGAGTTCATCTGGCATTCCCAGTTCAGGGACAATGCATCAGATGTTGCAGTCCTAAACAGAAACAGCCGTCCTGTCCGAGCAAAAAAAAAAAAGAAGGGGAAAAAAAAAAACGGAATTATGACGTGACAAAGTACACGTGGGAGAATGCATTGTACAAAGAAACAAACACTCCGGTGTGTCAAACGCAGGGACAGCGCAACTTACATGCTGCTTTCTACAATCATCCCCAGGGGAAATTTCAAGAAACTTATGACACCTCTTCCGCCATCCCAAGTGCAAAAAGCTGCAATTCTACACCCTTGCGGGTTGCATCCTAATGCCAACGTCGGTAGAGTACTCCTCCGCTGCCCCAAGCCAAACAACCCCAGCCGCCCCCATCTTCCCCAGCGCCTGAAAGGCCGCCGCAGCTCCTTGAGCCGCGCCTCTGCTGCAGCGCCACCCTCCGCGAGCTCCTTGCGCGAGGTCGCCCCTTCCGGTTTTGCAAAGGGAAATGAACCCCAATGGCTATGCTCGGCAAGTCACGTGATTGGTGAATGAGCGGGGTGGAGTGAAGTGCAATGAAATGGCGTGTCGTGGCGTGGCGTGGCGTGGAGTGGAGTGGAGTGGAGTGAAGTGGAGTGGAGTGGAGTGGAATGGAGTGGAGTGGAGGGAGGGAGGGAGGGAGGTAGGGGAGAGAGGGAGGGAAACGCAGAGCCACTGCCTAAGGTGTTATTTCTTGCGGCTTCTCAGGAAGCTCCACGAATATATGTGTTTTTTCACTTAGAGTTCAATCTGGCCAAGCGCCCCTCGGGCTCAGAGACCCAAGTAAGTGCGGCCAAGGGGACCTAGTCATTCCTGCCATCCGCACCAGTCCAAAGAGAAGCCAACGCCAGCAACATGCCACGTGGCTCAGATGCAGCCGAATGCTCACGTGAGCTGTCAGACTGATTGGCGAGCAAATACGATGATCGTTGTCATACCCGCTGGCACAATGAACACCCATGTTCTAGTGCAGTGAACAATCACGTTGGCAGGCGCTCACATTGATGTGATCTCTTGTGCACAACGCCAAAAGGTCAGAACTAAGCTGGCTTTAGGGCTCTGGGACACTCAAGCAGTTGCCTGGCGTGCCAAGGTTGTGCGTGTGTCAAGCAAGGTCACGGAAATAAGATCCTCTTTTGCTTCTTTGATGTCGCTCAGGATGGTTTGAAAGGCATCCGCATCGTAGGAAATGACCACCTAGGCCAGGCAGGGCGACTTGACCGCTGGAAATCGAATCAAACGACAAGACCACAAACAAACAAACATGGCACTTATCCGAATCAGCAACTTTTTGAGTAGGGCAGGCACCAGAGCTACTTCCGTATGCTTGCCCTCTCGGCCATGCTGCTCCTTACAGTTGAGAAGGGCAAAGGAGACATGGCACTTTGGCAATATACCAAGGCAACAATAAATTGGGCCGAGAGTCGACAAACTCCTTGATCTCTTGTTCGTCCCTGCCATCCATCAAGTACTTGTGCAAGAATGCATGCTAGTGCAACTATGTCATGATTGGGTGCTGCCATCCACACGATGAACATGCCCACATTGCACAAAGCAGTTCCTTCAAAAGCAGTATTTTCTGTCAGCTATGGCCTGGCATCTGACGGCAGACCATCAATGAAGATGGCGAAATCGTCAGGGTCGACGTGACGCTTGTCTAAGCTATGGCGGATCCCGTGCTGCATCCTGACGTGCCGCAAGTTCCAGGAGAAATGCTACCGCCTTGTCACACGCAGCGGCCTGGAGTATTGCGGCAGCAAAACCAGCATCAACAAGGAGGAGACCAGGGCACACGCCCAAGGCCTTAAACCAATGCTAGACGTAGTCAAGCCGGCAAATATGTAGTATGCCAACCCAATCCCCTCGAGAAACAAAAGAAGTCTGCCAGCTCCTTGGCGATTGGGGCATGATGTTTGATGGGTTCACATGCGTCGGTCACGTCTCAGCGCTGTGCCATGGAGAATCTGCCCCGTTGGGCCCTGTGTTGCCTGCAGTGATGTAGTCCCAGCTGATGGGGCGATCCCTGCGCAACAACATCTTTCCACCAGCTGGCGGAGACCAAACAACAGGCGGAAGGATGTGTTTGCACATTGCATGAAGTCTGATCTTGGGGTCAACATCAGCTCCGACCTGGACCCTTACGGCGAATGGCCTGCTGGTGCCCGTGTGGTTCCGCCAGCTGGTCAGCTCTTCAGGATCAAAGGAGCGGAAGGTGAAATAGCTCGGCAGCTGCAGCACAAAAAACAGCAGGCACAGGAGGCCCAAGGCCCGAACCTGAACGGGGGGAAGGTCTGACATCGGAACCCGAGGCCTTGGGCCGACTTGCCATATATGGGCTGTGGGGGGTAGACAGCTTGCATGTCTTGATCCACGTTGCTCCCGTGGTTGCAGTCACACAGTCAGCAAGCCCAATGCTCGGCCAAGCGGCAAAGTGGAAGAACAAGACCCAGCCAGCGCCCAGCTCACCCAAATCCTGGACAGCTTCCAATGCCATGTGGCACTGGGTAATTTCCACGCGGAAGGTTCCCGCTCAAAAATGCCGCATGTCCCACGCCAATCCACACAAGAATGGGATGGCTTCAAGTAAACGTGAGCTCCTGGATGTTGCAGAAGAGGCTGAATGGTGGTGCGGTCTTCAAAGCCTGGCAAATCGAACCGGAAAGAAACAAACGGTACCAGTTCACCGGCTGCAACAAGTTGAGCAAGGAAGCTGTGATTTGCTTAGGGTCAAAAGGCTTAGGGTCAAGGAAAGGAATCAATATCCGTTTCCACCCAAGGCCATGCCCAAGCTGTTTGGCCCGACAAAACACATACCGCTTCTCTGGAAATGGCGTCAAACCCGGGGAGGATTCCACATAGGAATATGTCAAAGCGAAGAAAACCAAAAGTATGTTGGGTGAGATGTTGCTTGCCTTGTGAAACCGACCCAGGGCTCCTTGTTCTGACATACAGCCACCCAGGTGAACCCGCCTGCTGCTCCGCGTCTGGACCGCTGAGGCCGCTCTCCGCCAACTCTTCAAAAGCCCGCCTGCGGCCAATGGTCCCCCCCCCCCCCCTTCGGCATTTTGAGGAATGCAACGAGTGTCCTTCGTGACGCAAGAGCTCCTGCATACAGTACACAAAGCTTCCCAATCTAGCCCGCCTTACATGGTAAACGCCGCTGTGTTTGCCATGCACCTGGACGGCACATGGTCACAAGCCGCAAATGCTTTGCATCGCATCAGAGAGCCTACGTTTACTCTCATGCATGACATTCATCATCATGAACAGAGCAGGTGCTGGTGAAGGGTGTGCAAGGCTCTAGTTGCGTGACTGCCAGTGGGCCTCTGCGAGCTTCCGCGACAGAACAAAGAGGGTGGAGCCCTCACGGACGCCTGCTTCTGCCAACGTCACGTTGTCCTGAAGCTGACTCGTGCGGACTTTTCCTGAAATTCGGGAAACCCTTTCTAAAGGGGTGAAACTTGCCCCACGGCCAAATGAATTACCCTGATTGCAACACATATCGGGCATCCCGTGGGCGCCACATTCCCTGAGCGCTCCTGCAACACCTCGCCCTGAAAGGTCAGTGTGACATCCACCTGTCGCACCCGGCCATGCGCACTCTAAAGCAGGAACGACATTTGAGCAAAGCACAACGCTTGTGGAGTTGGATATGCTTTTCACCCTCTTCGCCTCCTCCACCTCCTCTTCGCCTTGTTTCTCCAGCTGCTGCAGGAAGACACGTTCTAGCTTGGACTTCACCTAAGACCCCGATGTGCTACCACGCTGCAAATACCTCTGTCGCTGTTTTGTTTCTCTTGCATTGCCTGGCTGGCGCACATGCCTTTACTTGGAGCGATGGCGTGCCTTCATCATCATCATCATCATCATCATCATCATCATCATCATCATCATCATCATCATCATCATCATCATCATCATCATCATCATCATCATCACCATCACCATCACCATCACCATCACCATCACCATCACCATCACCATCACCATCACCATCACCATCACCATCACCATCACCATCACCATCACCATAACCACCATCACCATCACCATCACCATCACCATCACCATCACCACCACCACCACCATCATCCTGCAATAGGAGACACTGGTCTCAAAAGGATCATAATGAGTGCGACACAATCAACCTTGACATGTCTCGATCAGCGGCTTGCTCCACGGTGTCAGTGGGCTCAAGGTCCATTAGCGTTCCTCAGCATCACAATGTTGACATGCCGGCGAAAGAATGCTCAGCGAAAGCAGCAAACAGCTGTCAAAGTCAACTTGGCCTTTGCCGAGCGTCGCTTGAGTACGTGAATGCCAACCCTCATGGCTTGTTGGCAGCTGCACGCACAGCCAGCTTCTTTGGCCAACAGTGCGCCGCACAAAGGTCCATTCAGCAGTTGCCTGGCGCTGGTGTTGGATCACCTGCCAGGCCTACTCTGGGTGTGTGTGTGTGTGCTTTGCTGTTGTTCATCGGTCAAGACTGTCTTGACAACAGGTCTATGACAAAGAAGGTGACAGTGGTCTCGAGATCTAACTGCGGGTGCTGAGCCGCTCAGCTGGTTCAAGAGAATAGTGCCATCTGCCATGCCAACCGGACAAAGGTCTTTGCGACGAAGCGACAACAATGCAGCCGCTGCTTTCCATGGACATCCTTCTGCCCCGAAGCACAAGTTGGAAGTTGGGACCAGAAAGAAGCGAAGGATCTGAAATCACATCATGTTCGAGCTGAACACTGCCAATCCAACTCCGTGCCTCTCCAAGCCAGGACCACAACTGGCCACGTGTCCATTCGGCTAATTGACAATCAGCACAGCTTGCAACAACACACCTAGGTCCCAAGGCACTTTGAACAAAAAAAAGCCTCAAGGCCCGAGCCTCTCCTTCGTCTGACAAGAAGAACGTCTGCGACTCCCCAGCTGCGCAGGCAACCACTTTGCCCTGGCTGGCGCCAAGTCGTGAGTTGAGTTGGAGAGTGCTCCTCTTTGGCGTGCAGTCAACACAAGCCTTTGTACCTGGGATGGGCACACCCTCAATCATGCCCTCCCAAAGGGATTCAGAACAACCCTAAGCCGCGAAGCACTGGCAACATGTGTTCGACCTGTGTAAAGATGCTGGCTCCTTGGGCTGACCGGCAGAGGGTTGTCAGAATTACGGGCCCTTTTTTGACATCCGCTTTACAAGGCTGCTCACAAAGGGGGCCACATTTTGGACAACCCCCAAGGCTTCCGAATCAACATGCCTCAGGTCGCTTGCTCGCGTCTGTGAGCTGGATCTCTCGGACCTGGCGGCTTCGCATTGCCTGGACCCATCGGAAGCCAACTGCAAACCAAAACGGGAAACGATGTTGTGTATTTAACAAATATTTGCAAATATTGTTTGTATGATTTCAAATTATTCCATTCTATAATCAAAAATTAGTATTGGAAAAGAAAGAACCGCAAGAAACCTGCTAATCCCGTCCTCGCATACTTAGCCTTCTTTCGTGATTAACCCGGAGCTCATTTCGAGACACATCTAAGTGATACGGGCCTGCGCAGGCTCGAGCGCAGCCCCGGGCTCCGCCGCGGCCAGACGGCCTCAGCGCCAGCAATACATTCCCTCCAATGCATCTAACTCCACGAAGAAAAATTATGTTGTGCGATGTTATGCGGCAAAACCGATGGCAAAACATGGGAAGTACAAGACGCAATTCAGCTTGCCTTGGCCTTGGGAGGGTGACTGCCTAGGTCAAAGACCCGATGCCTCGTGCTGCCAAGGCTGAGGCCAGCAAGAAAGGAGCGACCGCCGCGGGTGACAAAGACCTCAATGCAGGGGAAACATGTCAGTGGCATTTGGAGGCCTGGAGTAAACCTCAGGTTGCCAGCAACCGCGCAACTGGCAGTGTCAATATCGCATGTGCTCTGCATCATCCAGTCAGAAGATCAAGACAGTCCTTGTGCAGGATCTTTTGGGAGCACAGCTCAAAAAGTAACGCCCGCCAGCCCTAAAATCATTTCAACGTCCCCCAGATTGTTCTCTGATCAAAGACCAACACAGTAGGCTTCCGACTGAGTGGCTACGGCCTGCTGCCAAGTGAACCACTGGATCATCCGAAGGCAATGCCTGGAATCCACAAACCCTTCAAATCAAATCCAACAAAATGTCTCCTACATCGCCGTGCCAAGTCTGGGCAGCCAGCTTGCAGCTGGCTGCTCTTCGGGACCTCTGCTGCTCCTTCCAACGCCAACCTCAGGCTCCCATTCAGCTCCATTCCCTCAGATGCCCAGTGGCCGCGGCAAAAAAGCAGGGCGTCCCCGGTTTTTTGGTTGGTTGACTTACAGGGGGAACGCACCTCCAGTTCCCCTTCTCGGTGCCGAATGGCGACTCGCCAAACTTAGGCCAGCGCTGGCCCTCGAGGTTGGCACCCCAGGCGTACACCTGCGGCACCTGAGACAGAAAAATTCTCGCCGCGCCCAAGGAGTGCGACGGAAAAAGAACTCAAGTGCTACCACTTGACCACCGCATGGGCCTTCGGAATCCGGCTGACAAAGAAAAAAAGCAAAGCAGTGCCCCACCTTCGATCCACATCAACCGTGTAAAGAAATCCCGCGCTGACGTCGAATCCGACCCCGCCTCACCGTCAGTCAGTGCCAGGTTGTGGAAGTGCCCACAGGAGAGAATGGAGATGCCTGGCACCTGCAACTGGAAAACGGGCGAATCAGTCTCTGTGTCAAACACAAAGCCTCTGCCAGAGGCTGAACATCCGCATTCTCTTGGCCAGGCACCTGGACTGTCACAAGGTCTCAAAACTGACGCTGGATATTGGGAAAATCAGGAAGACTTCCGATGTTGTCGCAAATAAGCTTGCGCACCTGCACCCGGAAGATGCCGGGAAAGCTTGGGTGTTTGGCCAAAGTTGAACAAACTTCAGAAGTGGGCATGCTTTCGCGCTTGCGTCTATCAACTCCAAATCCAAATCGGCTGAGAAAAAAATGAGGAAAAAAAATAAGCAAAAGAAGAAAAATAAGGGGAAAAAAAAGGAACAAAGTCGAAAGCGATCAGCACCTCCACGTTCTGCGCAAGCTCGCGGCCCAGCTCGCCGTGGAGGCCCCGCCCGAAGGAGTACCAACTGCGCGGCACGTAACCCGGCGGCCCTCTCCGTGTTTTTCTCGTCGAGCCGGCGCCTCATCCATGGGATGGCGCCGGTTCGAAGGCGCAAAGCTGTGGTCTGCTTTGCCGCGTGGCCGAAAAACCTTTTGACTGCCATGTGCGGGTTTGAGTGAGAATACTGCTGTGAGGTAAAGTATGGAATGGAGACATGGGGCAACCCGTCCCTCGACTTCTGAATTCTACAAGAAGCAAGTGTTGAGTTGCACCACTACAAAGGCATCCCAGTAGTAGTCCCTGCATGTAGCTGGCTAGTTGCCAAGCCAAACTAGCAGCAAGAGCAACTGTTCGATCACACATGCAAATCACAGCCTCTAAGGAGCTGGACACATATGCAATCACCTTTTGCGTCGCACTGCCTTCTTTGTCAGTCTGCGAGCTCTGTGACGAAATCAGCAGCTTCAGCTTGCGGGCTGCTCCTCTTCTTCTGGCATGGCCTCCTCACCGTATTCTTCGCCTGGGCCATATGTCCATGGGTCAAAATCCCGTACCCCACTAAATCGACTAAAATGGGTGGTGCACCTACCCCAAAATGGTACCATTGGTTTTCACATGAGCTCATAGCACCAAGGGGCCAGCTCAATGCTCACCATGCTCACCATGAAGCTCGTTCTGAGAAAGGTGCCTTCGTTGTACTCGCCTTCGGCGGCCTCCTCTGACACACCTCCTGCCTTGGGACCCGCATTCACCTGCACAGTCAAGGTTGTCGCCGCACCGACACGGTTTCCACTTAGAACGACACGGCATGTGCGCTGTGTGTGCGCTGTGTGTGCGATGTATTGCTGAGATATCTGCCTGTAGGGAACTAGATTTCAACACCTTATATTTAGTTCTTAGCTCCAAGAGGATGTTGGCCGGCACATGTCCTGGAGTGCTCGGCTCTGGCCTTGCCGCTGATGCTGGCATACACGGCGCCCTCAGACCACACCAGTGCCACTGAGTGGCTGGGACAGTGCAACCCATGGACTCGTGCAATGGACAACTCGAAAAGCCAAGCGTGCCGGCCAACACAGCTAGATGAAGCACAAATGCGACGCCAAGCATGGATGCCTTGGCTGCTCCTGCAGCAATGCAATCGTTGACATTGCCTTCAACGCTATGCTCGCCCGCCGTGCTGCTTCGCTTGAAGCTCCTGCAGGGACCTTTGGCTGCTCAGGTTCTCCACCTGTTTCCCCAGGATCGCCGACTTCGCCTTGCTCGCCTGCCCAGCGTGATCACAGACACGCATCTTTTGTCTCCCGGCAAGGCTAAGACTTGTGCATTGCGCGCCCAACCACCCTTCCTCTTCTTCAAAAGCAGTTCGCAGGAAAACATACTATGCTGTTGACACAGCCCAGGCGAAAGCAAGGGACCCGGTATGCCAGAACCATCTTGCTCACCACTATGGAAAGACATGACACCCATAAACACTACATCTCATAGACCTGCTAGCTACCACTTCAAGAACTCTCGCTTCGCGCCTTTGTCACCTTGCGCGCCATTGGGGCCTTTGTCGCCCTCATCCCCAGCAGGACCTTCCACAAGGCTCACAGGTCCATGTCTGCTTTTGGTTGTCGGTCATTCTGCAAACAAGGGCAGCATGCACATGTAGTGTGAATGCTCATATGTATCATCAAGGCCAGTCTCGTTCCAGGGGGGAAACATGCAGTAGGCAGACTTACATCCTCGCAAAGTAGCAGGAAAGGTCCAGTCTTCAGAACCATCTGTAGCCGCACATCCGAAGACCTGTATGTATGATTCTATGATAGAATTGGACCGAAGCACTTTACCACAGCTTCGTGGATTGCTCGCTGACCATCCGCTTTATGTCGGAAACTGAGAGGAACCTTCTGTGTCCAGTTGCTCTTTCCTCTGCGAGTTGGCCCTTTCCTAGTTTGGAAGATGCGCTCCTTTCTCACGCTGCAACTCATGACAAATCAGAGTCTGTCGGAGCAAAACGGAACCAAGTTCGTCCTGATGCAACCTTGCTAATCACCGCCCTGGCTGCATCTTGCCCTGTGGACTTCTGCTACATCTCTTGCGAGCGATTCTTGTCTTAGTCACTGGTTGCAGCCCACCTTCACCTCCGGGCTCGCCACGAGGCCTTTGCGCTTGCAAATCAATGACACATTTCACTTTGGACGATCGTACATCCTCATTGCGCCTGCAAATTCCATGGGATATTCAGCAGTGAACTTCGGTCGACACAACCAAACACATCCAAACAAGTCTCTCTTGCAGCCGGCTCCTGAGAATCCAGCCCTGCCGGTCCGGCAGCTGGCACGTCCCTCCTGTCATCCTTCAGATTCCTCAGTGCCACGACTCTCCAAAACGTGGAGACGTAACCCTCTTTTGCCAAGCAGCTGCCCCAAACTCTCCACGTGGCCGCCGTCTTAGCGAACCCAACATACATGTCACATGTGATGCAACCTGGGAAATTGCAGAAGCTGGGACTCACGCGACTCACTGTGAAGCTTGCGCCGGACCTCGCCTGACAGCCAAAAATCAAGCAGCCTTCTTCCAGAAATCCCATGCCTTGACGCCAGGCTGTGGAGGCCAAGCCTGAGCCAAAGCCAACGGAAAGTCTTGAATTCGCTGCCGGCAAAAGCATTCCCAGGCAGAATTGGCAATCCACGCGCCAGAGCCTTCCGCAAGAGTTCTGAAGGCCTTTCTTCGTGAATTGCGTCAGCTCCCAGGAATAGCAGCACCTTCAGTTGGCTCCCCCTCCACACACCCTCAACCTCCCTTGCGAGAAGCACGCGCTTCACTCAGCCACTGACTAGACAGAGCTGCAACATGGAGGCGTTGGCATGTACCTGACGACACTCGTAGTTGACACCTACACAAACCCAGGGTTCCACTTTTTGACTACCAAGATGCACTTCAACCCAGGGGTTCCCCTTTTGGGGGTGATGGACCACCCCTGGGTTTAAGTCTACCCTGGAGTAGTCAACAAGTAGAGCCCAGCATAAACCTACAGAGGGGCACTGAACGTCACAAACCTGACCGGCTGCCTCGCCTCGGGCTCCCAGAAATCGCGTTTCACGAGCCACGAGCTGAGCAAAATTTGCAGGCTGCCTTGCATCACTGCAATCCCGTTGCGCACGTGAAAATACAAAATTGTTTCACAAGAAAAAGCTGTGGTGTCATCCTTCAATCCCTTGGGACCCCGCTGCTGGGCCCCCTCCTCAAGGTCCAAAGGAGAGCACAGCCCCGCAGGCTGAACCAAAATGCATCCAGCGGCACACAAGCATCGCCAGGGTTTCTTTGTTCTCAGGTTGTTCGCTACCTCTCTCAAATATGCCTAGCCCAAGTGGACGCTAGGAACTCATGACAGCGCATCAAGCGCATAGGAAGGTTTTTGCGGTAAGCTCTCAGATTGGGTGCTTTCCACACAGGTCTTGCTACAGATAGCAGCGCATCTCGAAGCACCACGTCGCTTTGACGTGAAAAGCTGCCCAGGCCGCAACTCAATGCTGGGACTTGCCGCTGAAAACCTCGGGCCCTGGACGCAGTCGGTCCAACAGGTTCAATGTGTGCACTATCTTGAGGAAAATCACTGCCATGTGCAATTGTTCCATCTCAGACGGCAATCATTTCCTTCACCACGAAAGCCACAAGTACCTGGGAGTGCCACAACTGCTCGCATCTCCCATTGCTCAGCAGCGCACAAGTCACACCATTCCTTGTATATACATGCCAGCAAGTCTGAAATGCATACCATCTGTGCAAAGGAAACTTGTGTTGTCAAGATGCGAAAAAGCCGACGCCGCCGACCACGATGATGTACTGCGGGCGCCATTGCTACGTGAGCTGTTTCATAGTTTGACTGCACCGTTCCAACCACCTTTGTGCCGACTCCAAAGTGGCAAGTCTAGCCTTTTGGAAGAAGAGAAACCAAGAGAAAACCGGCCTTGACAAAACGGCCACTGTCCAAAAAGCTCAAATGCGTGTGTTTTGGGGGAATCGCCTTGTGGTTGCTTCAACAAAGGGAAACCAAAGGGACACTCGCCATAGGGGTCAAATGGCTTGCCCATCGCCTTCATCGGCCCAGGTTTCTGGAACTGCCGGATGATGGGGCCAAAGACCATACCTTCCCACAAAAAAGCGCAACCAGGAAAGTGCTTCTTAGGTGCGCGGCCAAAGAAGCCGAGAATGAAATTGATGACCAAGTTGGCATATCCTGCCGGGCACAGGCCAAACATGTTGCTGCAACCTATGACTGCCTGATGTAACAATTGTGCATGTGTGGCTGCTTGCAATGACACTGGCGCTCCGAGGAAGTTCTGTACGTAGCCCTGCTGCTCCTCTTCGGGCATCTCTCAAATATCGTGAATTGCAATCACAGTTTGTGAGGGGATGTTGGGGCAACCCAGAGCAACAACTCCCACTTTGGACACATTTGCCTGCACTTTGTGTTCAGCAGTTCTCTCTCCAGGCATGCAACAAGTGGATGAAAGTTGCGACTGTCCTCTGGTGGCAAAACAGCATCAGCTGGCCGAATGCCACCTGTGTGATAGTCTGAGTCAGGAGTCATTTTGCAGTACTCTTTGCTAGGGCAAAGGCTCCACACCAGCAGAACGACCTCAGCTGCAAGGGCTCACTCCCTTGACGTTGCAACTTCGCCCAAGTAGTGGTTGTCCTTTGGGACTTCCCTTTAAAACAACCGACAAAGAGTACACTCCAAAAAGAGTTCAGAAAAGACACACCCATACTGTGTGTGTGTGTGTGAAGTCACTGTAACACCGTCGCTGAAGCTTCATCACATCAAGCCACATGCAAGTCGGCATGTGTTGGAAGGCCGATACTCAAAATTATCACTGTGCGCCCCCACGCTGGCGACGACTGGAATTGCACGAAGTGGCAATAACGCCTCCGTCTGCAGAAATCAAGCGGGAACAGCCAACAGACTTATGCATTCCAAATAGCAGTCATGTCGCAGCAAGATACGTTTGCCATCAAGAATACCAAATTTCCAGAGCCCCAATTTCGGCACCCAAAGCACTGCTTGGTGAAGTTGCAGTGCTGGTGTGAATGCTGGCACCTCCTCCTTTGCGCTGTCCAGATTGCAATCACCACTCCTGACAGCTCAAAGCAATGTTGCGCACACTGACGGAAAAATGAATCAGCATCCCAGCATATTTGAACAGTTCACTTGAGGCTGACATTGGGAGACGTTTGCCTGCAGCAGCTCGCAATCGCGTCCACATGAAATCAGCTAGCTTGCAATCAATCAGACTCTCTTTCACACTGACATCACCGCTTTATTCATGAAAGTGTCCTAGCTTCGCTGCACTCGGAGCTTCTCAGCCTGCGTTGGCACGTGGTTCGAGGAACAAATTGGTTGCAAGTATCTTCGCTTCTCATCTGATTATGCAGCTTGCAGGCGCTTCCTGTCGGAGGCCACACTTCCAGGAGGAACGAAAGTGTAGCTCATGACCAGACCTGCTGACAATTCAGCAAGTGCCCCCAACTGCTCATGGCAACACTCCCCCAAAGCTCGTAAGCCTGCAGCTGCTAGCACTGCCGCAGAAAGCGGTCTAATGCGCCGAGGACGCATGGCCTGACGCATGGCCGTGCAGAGCAACTGTAACTCTCAGCACAAAAGGCGCACAGAAACGCTGCGGCAGGGATGGCCTCTAAAGCGTCTGCTCGTAACACTACAATTGGCCAGCTTCCCAAACTATGTGCCGCACATTTGAGCCAGTGGCGATCATTGCTCCGCGTTTTCTTCTTAAACACATCGACCAATTTGGAATCTGACAGCTGCGTGGTCTCTTTTGTATCCATCCCCGGGTCTATTGATGGAGCTAATCTCCCCCTAAGCAATGCCCCGCCCCCGGGTCTAGGCTAATTCATCGCGCTGACCTCCCCTTCAGCAATCCCCACCTGCACGAAAGGCGAGGCAACAAGATCTGGCCATGCCCGATTCAGTTCTGCACGCAACCGGCCTCAACCAACTATATGCCTTAGCAATTTGTTAAAGCCAAGTCGTCAAATAGAGAAAGAGAGAGATCAAAGACAGAATTCTCTGAGAATTCAGCAATGGTGATGGCGATGCTTGAACGGTGCTGTGGCACCTCGGAAAGTGTCAGCCAGTCGTGTGCAACGTGGGTTCAAGGCTGTGGCCTTCAAATCTCCGACCAACTCGGAGACTTCGTAGCAGCTTGCCTCGTGCCACTTTCTAGTCAACACTGCCACAAGAGCAAGCTGAGATTGCGACGTTGTTGCGCACGACAGGGTCGGACATCAGCCTTTCAATGAAAGAAGGCTATTTGACGAGTGGCAAGCTGCATGAAGTCCCAAAGTCACAAGTGCTCAAAACATCCAGCCTGCAAACATGCCAAGTACGCAGCACTTGCTGCCTCAGCACATTAACCATCCTCACGAAATGCATTGGCAAAGTCAACGCGCTGATTGGGTTCAACAAGCAGGTTCAAAAGTCTGTCTAAGCCCAAGATCAGACACGAAACCAATCATAACATCCTGCTGTGCTGCACGAGTTGCCAGAAACGGCGGTGAGAACTGGTACAAGAAATCAACCTGCATGAGAATCTCTCTCAGAGGTTTGCACTCGCGCCTGAAGTACGCGCATCCTGACAATCAAAACGCTGTGTCAGTGCTTGCAAGACCTCATACAGCGCCAGCTGCAAGAGCTCTTCTGCTAGCTGTTCAACCTCCCAGAAAAACACACGCAAGAGTCGGTTAGACTGCATGATACCCATGTTGGTCGTAGTAATCTTCATTGGTCTCACACACAAGCGAAAGTTCGTCCAATGCAGATGTCCATCTCCACCGATCTGACCAACACATCAAGCGCGCAGTCAAGGCACCTCCGGATCGGAACTGCAGAAACTGCAGCCGCATGCATCCTGCCGAAAGCCACATGAGCAAGTCCGTCAAGCTCCCTCCAAGCACAAAACCGCGGCGCAGCGGCGCAGCGGCGCAGCGGCGCAGCGGCGCGGGTGCGTGTTTGCCGTCCTCAGTGCCTTGTGCCATGGCGGTCAGCAAGCCCAGCATATCAATCACGGTCCTAGGTGATAGCGCAAAGTACAAAAAAAGCAGCTCGTCTCCGGGAAAGCTGTTTAATGGACGAGCAGCGGAGCCGAAACTTGAAAGTGCAAAGACTCTAGAACCTGTGCCGGGTTCTGCATGCCAGTATCAGTATCTTGAATCGCTCCATATGGGTGTTGCTCAAAATTGGGGACCGCATCCACGTAGGTGGTTCTTTTTGGTTTCCCTTTAAAACCGTCCAAAAAGGGGGTCCCTTATTTTGAGACACCCCCATATTTTGGCAGGCCTCACGCTCCTTCTTCAGCACCAAGTCGACAGGCACCCTGTATTGACCTCAGAGCAACGGAGCACCCCGATCAAATCGGGTCCGAGGCGCCGCACCCAAGTGCGCCAGCAGCTGACGGAGAGGAACACGCACCTGCTTGCTTCCCAAACGTTGGGTCAACGCCAGGCCACTTGAGCAATAACTTCATGCCCAACTTGAGTGCCATCCTCGCTGAGTCCGTCCACTTTCAGCGCAATGCAGATCACCGTCAGCAGCAAGACCTTCCAAATCACTCAGCGCTCACTGCGCTTCTCCATGTCTGCTTTGGATCCGAGATCCCCTGCTCAACCTAAACAGTGTGCACTGGCTATCTGGCAATGATCCAGTAAATCGTAATCCTGGAAATCCAAACTTAGCACTCTTATGAACCCTTCAAACCAAAACTTACATGGCCAACCCCCAAAAATAGAACACACAGCCAGTATACCTGGACCGTTGAAAACCCAGGCTTCCCAGCCGTACATCTCTGAGGTTTGTTGCCCAGCATTGGCGAGGACACCGCCTGCATTTCCTGCATGGTCGTCATAGTGAGGAGCGTCTCCGCGTACCGGTCCAACAAGGAGACGGCTGAAAAGGCAACTGCCTGCAACGGCTTTTCCAGCAAAAACAAACACTGTTGCCCAGGCACCTTCGAGAAGTTCATCGCTTCGCATGCTTGAAGAAGCCAGTTTACCGCCAGCACCTCAAAATGCACACTCTCAATCGTTTTCTGGAAACTGCTCAAGATGCCAGAGCATAAGCAATGCAGCACTCGAGCACTGACCGCCAAGCTAGCACTGACAAGTCTGCAGAGTGCCCGTGGCACATTTACTAGACACATGAGACCAAGATTGCGGCACGCTCTGCTGCTACCATCTTTGACAGGATGGCTCCGGCAAGTGGCCAAGGCCTTGTAGCGCGCAGGGCAAACCATGGTAAGCTGCTCAACACGGCCTCTCTGTTGTCAAGTGGACTGCCTCGAGCCATTGGCTCGAATCCTGATCAAGTCGGGATTGGTGCCTATGTGTCCACAGGTCAAGCACGAAAAAAGCGAATTGCGTCCCTCTGGCAGCAATCAGATTCACAGATCTTCGAGTAACACACGCATGATCACACACAAAGCACGGGCCTGCAGGTCACAACAGTCGTCCCGATCCTATCAGCTAACAAGACTTTTTCTCTGTCGAAAGGCATAAGATATCCCAGTGTCCTTCTCTTGCAAAATAGATGTCAGCCTGGTTGGCGTAGCTCCCTCCAAGCAGAAATCCTCACTGTTGCGTGGAGACCTGCTCGAGTCTGGTGAGTTTCCGGGAGTCAATGCAATGGTACTTCTTGGAGCACCCTTCTTGGTTTCCACAAGGTGCCTACGACTGCTCTTGCACAAGTCTTCCTCGTTGTCCGAGTTGACGTCCAGGTCTTCAGCCAAGCCCTGAAAGACTGGGGCCTTTGGAAGGGCGTGCCAAGCGTACAGCCGATTTCCATCAGTGGCAGCTGCCCAGATGTCGTGAAGCTTTTTCATGCAACTGTTCAGCAGCTCTGGGCTGTGAGCTCCAAATGCGCACTCGTGGCTGAACACCTTCGATTCCCTTGGCTCATGCACCGTGTTGGTGAGGTCCCCGAAAACTTGCCGCATCCGATGCTCGTTCCTGCAGCTCTGCGCGCTCGGCACCTCGCTGAACGAAGAATATGGCGCTGCTCTTTCGTTGTAAGTTACAGATGAAGATAAGTTTGCGTACTTGACAAAAAGGTCTGGGCTTAACAAGACAGCTAGCAAGTACACAATGCCACATCTACAACAGTGTTTAGGAGCCTTCTTTCTTAACTTTCAAAAACAGCAAACACTGCCTTGATAATGGGCAACCAAGGCAACATAACAGGCTTGAGCTGGCAAAAGCTGCTGATGCTCTTGAAACATGTGTCCCTACCAAACATGCTGGGCGCACAACGTGCAAGCAAAGTAACACCCGAACATATGTACATGTATATACATATGTATACTAGGTAAATATAAATTAACTAAAAAAAAAACATCTCGCTGTAACCCCAATTGAACAGCGTTGCACCCTATCACCCTGTTTGCCCAATCAGACTCCATTGCCAGGGACCACACCGAATTGCACCCCATTGCATCCAGTTTGCTGCAACTCTTTTCCGCGTCCGTTGCATGGAACATGAGCCAAAGCATATATTCACATGGGCCATGCCACAGCGAACGCCGTTAAGCATAAAGGCCAAGTGCCTACTATGTACAATCCTTGCAAGTCCTTGCGTATTGGCACATGTTGCGCGCGAACAAGGCAGGCAAGCCACATTGACATGTGTCAAGCCTGCATCACAGGCATCATCTGGAAAGCAAAGGCTTGCAAGCTTGAACCTGCCCACGCCAATGGCTCCCAAGTCGTAATCACTCTGACAGAGCGCCTCAGAGCGGAGCTCGGCGTTCCGGCTCTCCAACTGCAGTGTCAGCAGCTGGAGGCAAAAACTTCAAAGCTCGATGCCGGTTGGGCCTTAAGTAATGCTTCCTCCTGCTCTTCAATCTCTTGGGCGATGGCCTGCAAGATACCGCGCAGACAAGAGAGCCTGTTTTTGCAGTTTGGGAACCAAGGTCGGCCTCAGTGTCTGCCTCATCTTGTAGCAATTCTTTTTGCACCTGATTTGCGAGTTGTGTATGTGACCCTCTTCCAGCCTTGACGCTAAAAGGATGTGGAAAAAAGGCATTCGTGGATCTGCCGCTTTTGCCTCCAGCTCCCGCTTGGAGATGACGTCCGGGTCCCGAGAGTCGAGAGCAAGGACTGATGCCTGGAACAAACCGGAGTTCATACCTTTGCCCGAAGCCAAAGCGCGGCACAAGCGCCTTCACGTCATGGTCTATACCCATCAAAGCACCTGAACGGTGCACGTCTTCTTTGTTCTTGCAACACGCGTTCTGGGGTCGTGGCTGCCTGAGCCCCCAAGACTGGACTTGAGAGAGTTGCGCTCATCCTGCAAGTAAGATCTCCAGTGGACTCGCGCAAACATTTTTAATCAGAACAAGTCACACCCTCCTCTAGTCGGGCAACCTGGTTGCTGAGATGCTCAATGAACGCCTGTCAGAAGAATGCGGCTTTCGACGGATCCTTTCGTGTTCACGCTAGGGCCTCTGTCTCCCAGCGTTCTTTTCCTCGGGAAGTACACTCTTGCCAGCTGGGGACTGCAAACACGTGCGCACAAGCTAGGGCTGCAGCGCATTTCTGCGATGTTACGGTCATTGTCCTTCATCGTAGCGACCATCTCCTGTGTCTGGATCTGTGACCGTGGAGTACTCTTCAGCTCGGGCGCCTCGCCCTCAAGCCGACAGGTGTGAAGCCCAGTGTTGAGCTCTTCGGCCTGGTGCTCCATGCGTACCTTGGCCATGACAACAGGCAGCAATCTGTGTATTTCTGACAAGGCACCTCATGTTCGCGAAGTCCATTCACGATCCTGGTGTAGCTCCTCTCCAAGTTGTCCCTGTCGTAGCGAGCCTTTCAGCAAGAATCAAATTCCTTCAATCGACGGGAGCACCGAGGTGACACTCTGCACTCCGGCCTGCCCCAGCCTGCCAACAAGTTGCTGCCTTTCTCGCTCCGCAGCCTCAGACTCAAATGACTCAAATCCCATTCCCAAGGGCACCAAGGCCACCAAGGCCACCAAGGCCACCAAGGGCACCAAGGGCCCGGGCGCGCAACCGTGGAAGCTCGGTGGCCTTGCTCTGCACCAGCAGCTTGGCCTCGTCGAAAGCTGAAAAATGGTGTCGGCCCGGAGTGGCTTGGCGGTCGCACCTCTTCCCCGCATTCTTGCTCCGCAATCTCCACCTGAACCGTGAGAAGGCGGACTTCCTGGCGAAGCCTCTCCAGGTCCTGATCTCTTGCGCAAGGCTTGGCTCACTTCTAAGGCACCGGAGAATGAGGAAAACACGAGCTACCCGCTGACTTTGAGACAGGACTGATTTTGACCCAAGCAACAGAGCTCCCGCCTGAAGCCCATGTCCACTGCTTGGCTGCCTGCTAATATCTCTTCAGTCGTGTCACACCGTCTTATCCATCATGCACTGGTAACACTTTGACCAATCAAGTTGTTAAGTCAAGCAAACTCCGAGCAATCTCGTTTTGCTGGCAAGGCTCCCTGCACTGCTTCGCACTGCATCTGGCACCTCCTGGCATCTCATAACTTGTATCACGGTATGCACTTGTATTTTGAGTGTAACACTTCCATACCCTCCAGCATAGAATGCTCATCCTAAAACATGTGTGACGGAAGGAATGCAACCAGCGATTCAGGGTTGCACAAGTGTTCAAGTTATCCCAAAAGTCTGCGTAACGTGGCTGACTTGCGATACGAATCATATGATTGCAAGAACCTCGGTCCTCATTTTTGAAGGATGCCAACTTGGTGTGAAGTCGTTGCGCGAGCTGTTTCGCAGCATTGACTGCCTGCACGCCGCGCCAATGGCAAAAGAGAGCAAACGCCGAAACTGGCCGCCTCGTCATATTCGGCCTCTAAGTCCTTCGCATGACGACATTCGGCCTGACAATATGTTTACAAATAGCTCATCCAGTGTCGGTAATGGCCGTGTCGGGCGGGGCCTCTGCTCTTTCCAGCCGCTTTTCTGGTTCATCTTCGATGACCCAATCCGCTGCGACCTTGAACCGGGCATGGCACTTCGATGCTCAGCACGGCCCGTCTGGTGCAGGAAAAGCGCTCCACGGAGAGATACAGAGGCTGCTTTGAGCTCGCTTTGACCCTCCTTGCCACCAACAACAGCACAACAAGCAATAGGGATCGGGCTTGCTGTGCATTGCTGAAAACAAGTTAGTCCTGCAGCTCGGCCACCAGAGCACGTTGGATTTTCTCACTCCTAGAAAACGACAACAATACAAAGATGTGCATGCAAAATAACAACAATAACCAAAAACAACCAAGAACAACCAAAACAACATCAACATCAAGAACAAGAACAGCAGCAGCAGCAGCAGCAGCAACAACCAACCAACCAACCAACCAACCGACCAACCGACCGACCGACCGACCGACCGACCGACCGACCGACCGACCGACCGACCGACCGACCAACAAACCAACCAACCAACCAACCAACCAACCAACCAACCAACCAACCAACCAACCACGACAACCAACAACAACAACCACAACAACAACAACAACAACAACAACAACAACAACAACAACAACAACAACAACAACAACAACAACAACAACAACAACAACAACAACAACCACAACCACAACCACAAACAACAACAACAACAACCACAACCACAACAACCACAACCACAACAACCACAACCACAACAACAAAACCACAACCACAACAACCACAACCACAACAACCAAAACCACAACCACAACCACAACCACGACAACAACAACAACAACAACAACAACAACAACAACAACAACAACAACAACAACAACAACAACAACAACAAGCAACAACAACAACAACAACAACAACAACAACAACAACAACAACAACAACAACAACATGAACAACAACAACAACAACAACAACAACAACAACAACAACAACAACAACAACAACAGCACAACAGCAACAACAACAAACAACAAACAACAAACAACAAACAACAAACAACAAACAACAAACAACCAACAACCAACAACGACAACGACAACGACAACGCCAACGCCAACGACAACGACAACGACAACGACAACGACAAGGACAACGACAACGACAACGACAACGACAACGACAACAACAACAACAACAACAACAACAACAACAACAACAACAACAACAACAACAACAACAACAACAACAACAACAACAACAACAACAACAACAACAACAATGCAAGCGTCCTTGCACTGCTTTTTTCTTCGACATCAGCTTCCAGCGTTGCTCTTCGCTGCCATCGTACAACCTCCTCCAGAGCTTTCGGACTCCATCTGTTGTTTGAAACGACTAACAGTTATGTCAACTGCATGACATCAAACATGGTACGCCCGTTCATCACGCACATCATCGCTCTTGCGGGCTGGGTCTCCTCTTCTAGCTCTTTGCGGTCCGCTCTAAGCTGCACGGCATCGGCCAACAGTGCCTTCATCCATTCAAAAACCGAAGGTTGCAGGTTGCAAATCCCATGACGTGTCCAAGCCTCGCATTCTCCACGCACAGTGATCTCCTCCGTGTTGCGCTCACATCGGAGTCGTGCCAGGTGCAAACAAAGCCTGGCAAGATAAAATGATCCGCGAAGAAGGACGAAATGTCTGCGAAGCAAATCCCAAGAGTCTACACCAAATGACACGAAAACATCTGCCGCATGATTCAAACTAAGATGGGTGCTCATCATGACGTGTGGGGTTGTTACCCCCATGAGGCCATTGCGACCATGGCCTCAAAGCAATGACAACTCACAGTGTCTCATTGATATGTGCAAAAGGATAGTTTGGCAGATGTCACATGCAAAAGGTATTGCAGTCACACATCTTGGGGCCGAGCTGCATGAGAATCGCAGCTAGCATGCGTTCATCAAGTTGATTCAACAATTGCATCAAGCAGGTGCCACAACGGAAAATTCAGCAAAAATTGCGCAGTATCAGTCCACGGCGTGCAGCACAACCCTCGCTAAAATCCGTTCAATTCACCTTTTGGGTTCACAACACATCAACGGCCCCAGTGAAGCGCAAAGGCACCCACACGCATTGTACCGAAGCAAAAACGGATTGTGCCATTCACATGTGACCCAAGAGAAACACCACGCCAATCAAGACGTTGTCAACATTCCACCGACAAATTGCGGGCTATGCTTCAGCAAGGCAGCATGGCTGCCTACTGACTTGAACGATTGAGTACAGGTGCGCTCCGTTTCAGCCGCACACCGCATACATCCCGGAGTGGAATAACTTCCTTGTTCGTGCAGTGGGGCATTGCTGTAGGTGGCGGCGTGGGCCTATTACAAGCCCCAGCCTCTCATGTCTTACAGAAAGTATGCTTAGCACCTCAACATTGGACCGTGATATCCATCCAGCAGTGTGTGGTCGGTTTGTGATGCTTTCGCGGGTGACAGACTATTTCCAGGTCGATCAACAATTGGGGACATCTTTCAGGACACATTTCGCCTCCCAACTTTGGCACTGACTCAGTTGGAGAAAGTTGCCCATAAGCCGGAGACATGATGGGCATTGGTCAACATCAGGTACCGACATGAAACAAGCTGTGCACGGCAATTGATGCCAACATGTAAATGTGGTCAAAATCCGTGGCTTTTCCGAAAGGTGTTACTCCAAACATTCCATTTGAGCATCCTGGATGGTGATGTGTTTCGAATTCCTGAGCACAAACACAACCCGACAGATCCCAAAGTTGCATTTCTAAGCGGCCTAGCTTGTTGCTCCTATGCTTAGAGCCACCTCAAACTAAACACTACGAAGTACAGAATATTGATGTTCTAATACATGGAAGCAGATGATTCCGGAGAGTCTGCAGCTGCTGCCGCTGCTGTTGTTGCGCACTGTTTCAGACACTTTGGCCCCCCTTGTCTTTTCCAAGGGACGGGACAGAGCTTTAGCCCCCCCACATGCAGTCCATTCGACTTCGGCACGCACCCTCTGGCAGGCCAAAGCAAGACCGCTGCATGGCGAAGTCTGGCATGCCAGTACACAAACCGCTCATGCCACCAATCCCAGTGTTGATGCCGCCGATATCGTCGCCGCCAATGCCGCCACCCCCACCCGTGGAGATCCAAGAGCATCCAGGGACTGATTCGCAGGACCCTTGGTCTCCAGAACAAGCTTGAGCGGGGGGCACAACCATCGTAAAGCACGATCCTCTGGGTGGCGGCATCAATCTGTCCAAAACAAATGCTAGTCAATGGTTACTAATCACATTCGTGAAATTGAACGAAACAGCCAAGATCTGTCCTGCATTGATGGATCCTGTGTTGCTGGGTGGCTCGGGTCGTTCTTCACGCCTCCACTCGCAGCCCTTGTCTCGGCGGTCGTGGCCTTTGCTTCTCACGAGTCATCAACTCGAGCCATAAGCATTGAACTTACAAATGATGTATGTTTCTATTGCATCAACCAACATCGACAGCCTTTCAAGTGGATGAGATAGAAAACACAATTTGCCAATTTGCACCAATTCAGGAAGGAAGACACGTGCCATCCATTTGGAACACCAGGCAAAAAGACAAACGATTTAAGTGCTAAGAATAACTGTATATTCCTCTTGTGGCAGTCGACATTGTATCGGAAAAGCTGTGCGGTGCTGGGTTGCATCTACCCGTGAACAATTGCCTATGGTCATTCCCAAAATGAGCCCTTGGGATGGCAGGGATCTATGCAATCTGGCAATCTGCAGTATGTCTGCAACCGGAGCTTGAGAAGGCGAAGAGCGGGCCTGTTCTTTATTCAACCGGTTCTTGTTTACTTATGACTCCAAAAGACTAAGCAGCGACATATTGCAAACGAAATTTGCACGGGACTTGCACCATCGATCATGATGCCAGAGAGAAGGAGAGAGAGAGAGATGCAGGGGAGGTGGCTTTTCTTATCACCGGGTATTCATTTCCTTGTTCTTCTCCATTGACCCTTGCCGTTCTTGGAGCCTGGTTTTGAACTAGCCTCTTTAGACGTATCTAAAATATCTAAAGACCTGCGGAAGGGCATATTATGTCCCTGACAAGATTGAAACAAGACCCAATGACTTCACTCACTTCAGTCCTCAAGAAACTCCGTTTGGTTCCGACTGGTTGTCTGAAAGGCTGCTACACATCTCCATCTTCCTATTTGAGCTGATTTGAGCTGGGTGACACACGTGCTCAGAGTAGGTGTAGCACCAGTGATCGCCATGTGGTCCAACACAATGGCCGTCTTGCCATTGGTTCTTCCCCTCTTTGGAGGCCTTCATCTGCAAGAGCTTCAAACTCGACTCCTGCCGACGCGAAATTCGGCGGGTCAGCTGTTGTTTCAAAGGAATATCGATCTATGCAGGTACCGAATGTAACCATGTAGCGCTGATCTTACTCGAGGGTCAAAACATCGTCATCCAACGGCAAACAGGGTATCTTAACACGTACAGCCCAAATTTTGTGGAGGGTCAACCACCATTTTAGGAAAAAACAGAGAAAGAGCATAATTCAGGACTCACAAAGAAACAACATTCAAAGCTTGTCCAAGGCCTAAGGAATGATGGACTGCGGAGGGCTGACTTCTGTCCTGGCAGTCATCTGGAGGAACTACGGATTCCTCCAAGTCTACTCCTTGCACCAGCCAAGCCCATGAAGTGAAAACCCAAACTGCACTTGCAAGCGCCATGGCGGTTTCCTGCAACGGCAATCAGATTAGCATCTAATCTCGATTTGATCAGTTCTGGCAGTGTCAAGTTGACTCATTTCTGCACAAACGTCATCAAAATCGTCAAGAGAGGAGTTGGTACTTCATGTTTTCCGTCGTGATCATCCTGAAATAGATTGCATCTACCTAGTAATTCGAACAAACGAGAACACAATGACATCATGCCATAATCAACCTATTCTGGAACACACATCTGTTCGGATCTGCAGCGTATCATGTTGATTCAAAACACTAAAAACCATGAAATCCCAGGGATCCTCTGCAAACCAATGCCATTTCATTTCCCGAGGGCCCAACTTCACCATGAACAAACCCAAATAAAAACGTTTTGAGCCCCCTCCTTTTGCGGCTTTACGCAACTAGGCCTAAGTTTGTCCACGTCTTGCTTGGTTCATGCGCTGGGCGCAGAATTTGACACGTTGTTTTTCGCTTCAAAAACCACTTTTTTGGAGGACTGAACCACAAAGAGGGAACTTCCCACCTGACAACAGTCGTGTTCGAAAGTTGCCAGGCAACGACTCCAGCGCGTCGCTTGGTCATGTTTGTCAGCAGTCTTCCTGAAGTTGTAGAGGCCGAGTCGCGTTTTTTGGGTTGCGCAAACAACAGAAAAACTTTTTAGAACGCGAAAGTTTTCTTGGACTTGCAAGTGTCTTTCAGATGAAACGTCATCTTGTTTCATTGATTGCTCTGAAAGTGCGGAGTCGCTTCACTCGGCACTCGAGCAGGAAGGTCTTTGGCAAAAGGGCCCAAAAAAACTTCAAGACCAAAGCAGTTTTCGCAGTCATTGAATGTGTTTTTGCGTTTTTTAACCAGCTCCCCGTCAGACAACCTTGAAAACAAAGGCGAAACTTTAAGGCAAACGCAATCAATCGCACAGTTCGACGCATCTTCAACTTCACACGAGGGTATTGTTCTGAATGACCCAAAGCACAAACCATCAACAAGTTAGTTGTGCTGCCGCAATGTTTCTTCACTAGTTAGAATCTTGATCACTGCTTCAAGCCGTAAACGCAGCGGTTCCAAGATTTTGCGAATGGCAGACTGTGCTGGCATGCGTCCAACCAGGCCAAGTTCAAAGACCGCCACTCCGCCCTAAGTGGCCACCGCTTTGAAGAGTTCTCCTTCTTCTGTGAATTTCCCGGCTTTGTGCTGCGCGTGATTTTTCCTCGGAAGACAAGTTAGGCACGGCTTGCATGCATGCGGAAGTGCTCTTGGACCGCCGGAGTTTAAGTCTACTGCACTCCTTGCAGGGCGGAGCATGCTGACGATGCCTGACCAGGAAATGCGCGTCAGTAGTTCAAAGCATGCGTCGTCAAGGATGTCGTGCTCTGCGTGGCGTCAAGATCAAAGCTCTCTCTTTAGAGGGGGTTTCCCAAATGGATTCTATTCTACCTGACAGGCTCCTAGCACTCGTCCGTCCAGCATTTGACCTCGTCCTGCGAAGGATTCGAAACCTAAAACGCTGCGTGGAGGCGTGTGGCTGCAAAATAATGACCCCGAGATATGCGTCGCAATTTGGCTCCAGGTTGCATTTCAAGCGAGCCAACCTTTGCAGGGCTAAGAAAAAAACAAAACAAAAAGAAAACAAGGGGTCCCAAAAAAAAGGGGTCCCGAAAAGAAAGCGAAAAGGGTTTTCCTTTGGCAAAGCTTGACCTCGCTTGAAATGCAACCTGGAGCCAAATTGCGACGCATATCTCGGGGTCATTATTTTGCAGCCACACGCCTCCACGCAGCGTTTTAGGTTTCGAATCCTTCGCAGGACGAGGAAGCCAGTGTCAAGGTATTTGGTGTTTTCAAACCTATTTGGTGTTTTCAACCATTCGTAAAGTAGAGGCAATGGTTAAGCACTCAAGCTGGCAAAGAGATATCATTGACAACTTGAGTTTGGTTTTATGCATTTTCTCAATTGCTGCAGTTTTCACTCAGCTACAATCCAAGGCGCTAGAGGGCCAATGCAGGGGAGGGCAGGGGAAGGGGAGGGGGAGGAGGTTTGGGGGGGGGGGGTGCACGCTTGATGTTCTTACTCAACAGACACAATCATTTGTTCACTGCAAGGCAAACTGTGGATTCAAGAACACCCAAAGCAACACACAGAGCAACAACATCAACCTGGAGACGCGCGTCATGTGTCAGACAATTGACAAAAGCACACGTGCTGAATCAAAGAAAACTGCGCTTCCAGCCTGGGTAGTCGCCTTGTTCCCTTTCAGACTTGTGGGGTTGGGAGGATCAGCCAATGTCTTTTTCTACCAATTGCCACATCCTATCCCATGTGTGCCCACATAAATGCACAAGTTCATATATGAGTTTCCCATCAACTTGCCTCTTGCAACAACTTACACCTTCCCTCATCCTCAAGGTAAATGGCTCACGTGGCAGTCATGTTTGTTGTTTGGTCGGGTTGTGTCGCATGTGTGTGTGTGCAGGATGTCTTACTAAGGAGTACTCAGGCACTGACTAAGGACTACTCAGGCACTGCCACAGGAAGGAAGAGGCAGGGCATAAAAACTAGCCCCACCGAAAGGTGGTAAGCGCCGAAAGGTGCAGGACCCCTCTTTTGCAAACTAAATTAGGACCCCGCCGAAAGGTGGTAAGCGCCGAAAGGCGCAGGGCCCCTTTGTTTGTGCGTGGTGGACATGCTCTATCAGGCCGTTGGGTTGGGATGTGGGCAGTGGCTTCAAGGGAGTGTGTTTATGTATGCCTCATTATGTAAATGTGTATGTACGCATGAATGTAAGTATGTAGGTGTGTATGTGTGTATGCATGTACGTATGCATGTAGTGTAATGTAATGTAATGTAGTGTGGTGTGGTGTAGTGAAATATTCTGTATGCATGTATGTATGTATGTATGTATGTATGTATTTATGTATGTATTGTACGTATGTATGTATGTATGTATGTATGCATGTGTGTGTGTATGTATTTATGTATGTATGTATGTATGTATGTATGTATGTATGTATGTATGTATGTATGTAATGTATGTATGCATGCATGCATGTATGTTTGTATGTATGTAATGTATGTAATGTATGTATGTATGTGTGTATGTATGTATGTTTGTTTGTATGTATGTATGTATACTGTATGTATGTATGTATGTATGTATGTATGTATGTATGTATGTAAGTATGTATGTGTGTATGCATACCCACATACATACTTACATACATACATACAGTATACATACATACAAACATACATACATACATACACACATACATACATACATACATACATTACATACATTTCATACATACATACATGCATGCATACATACATACATTACATACAATCATACAAACAAACATACATACATACATTACATACATTACATACATAGAGACATACATACATACATACATACAGACATACATACATACATACATGACAGACACACATACATACATTACATAGATACATTACATATATGTAATGTAAGTATGTAATGTATGTATGTATGTATGTATGCATGCATGTATATGTATGTGTGTAATGTATGTAATGTATGTAATGGAAAATACAGTATGTAATGTATTTAATGTAGGTCTGTATGTGTGTCTGTCATGTACGTATGTATGTATTTATGTATGTATGTATGTATGTATGTAATGTATGGAATGTATGGAATGTATGTATGTATGTATGTATGTATCTCATGTATGTGTGTTTGTCTGTAATGTAATGTATGTATGTATGTATGTAGGTATGTGTGAAATGTATGTATGTATGTATGTATATTTGCTATGTATGTATGTAGGTAGGTATGTATGTATGTACGTTACATGTATGTATGTGTGTATCCATGTCATGTAGACACGTATGCATGTATGTGTGTATGTACGTCATGTTATGTATGTTTGACGCATGTTCTGTAAGCATGCATGTTATGTATGCGTGTATGTATGTATGTAGGCATGTATGTAATGTATGTACGTATGTAGGTATGTAGGCATGTAGGTATGTAGGTATGTATGTATACAGGTATAGATGTATGAATGTATGTATGCATATATGTATGCAATGTATGTATGTATGTAGTGTAATGTAATGCAATGGAATGTAATGTATGTATGTATGTATGTAAGTAATGTATGTAATGATGTATGTGTGTATGTATGTACGTATGGAAACACATGCTCGTATGTATGTTTGCGTGTATGCACGCAGTGGTATGAAATGTATGTATTTATGCATGTGTGAGCAAGCAAGTAAGTATGTACGTATGGAGATGTGTATGTTTGCAATGAATGTTTGTATGTGTGTGTACTGGAATCTAAGTATCATGTATGTGTGCATGTAGGTATCAATGTACTGCAATGTACCTATGTTAGCATGTATGTATGCATTGATGTATGCATGCATGTATGTAATTTATCATGGATGTAATGTGTGTGCGTCTGTGTGTACCCATGCATGCATGTCCACATGTGCTGATGTACTGTAATGTACCTATGTGAGCATGTATGCATGAATGTATGTACCTATGCACGTATGTATGTATGCTCTGTAATGCAATTTGATGTAAGAGTAATGTAATGCAATGTATGTATGTGTGTATTGTATGAGTGTAATATAGATACATAGACTATTTATCTTTGTGCGGATGTATGCATGTATGTAGGTCTGTATGTCTGTATGTAATGTATGTAATGTATGTATGTAATGTATGTATGTAATGTAATGTAATGTGATGTAATGTAGTGTAATGTACTGTAATGTAGTGTAAGTATGTATGTAATCTAATGTAATGTGATGTAATGTAATGTAGCGTAGTGATGTGTAATGTAATGTATGTATGTATGTATGTATGTATGTATATACGGTATATATGCACGTATTGTGTGTGGTCAGTGGGTGTGGTTCGTGTTTTGGCTTATTACCAGGGCTGGAACACAGCCCTGGCTGAAGCTTCTGACATTGTTCGTTATGTGGCATCTTTGTTGTATGTTGACTGAGCCAAAAAGCCCAAGGCGCAGTTGGGCATTGTCTTCCTGTGGTTTGGCATGAAGCGGG